ACTGATATCATGAAGAGTTTGTGAATATTCTTATGAGTGCTCTCTCTCTCTCTCTCTCTCTCTCTCTGGGATCAAACCCAAGTCTTCATACACCCTAAGCATGTACTCTATACCCTCAGACTTATGTTAGAATATAGAGGGAAAGAGTGTGTCTGGAAGTAGTTTAGCTGCAAAAAAATTGAAGTAGATACTGTCAAACTTTCTTTTTCAGAACAATTCAAAATCCATGCAGAAGTAATAATTGGAACCTTCGCTCCTGTAAATATGCATGGCTGACTCCTGTTCAGTCCTGGACCACAAGGGGTGCCATTACTCAGAACTCCCTTAGACCTGATTCATGCCAGTCACATCACATGTCTGTTTGTTTATTCCAGTCATTAGAACCCAGTAACTAAATGGCAAATTATCTGTGAATAGTGACTAATTATAAGTAATGTCACACCATCCCAAAAATATTTGCATGTAGGAGAGAACTAGGCAGGTCAGTGCTCTGAAGGAGGTTGTTCAGAAAGTCAGAGAAGTAGACTCTGGAAAGATCCTGGACAATGGCCAGTAGCCAGCCCCCAGCACCCAGCCATCAGCCTTCTTCAGCTCTTAGCCCTTAGTCCTTAATCCCCCACCCTCAGCCCTCAGTCCCCCACCTTCAGCATCCAGCCCTCAACCTTCAGCCTTGTGACCTTCACAGACCACAGCCTTCAGCCTCCAGTCCTCAGATCCCTGGCCCTCAGTCCCCTACCGTCAGCCCTCAGCCTCCAGCCCTTAGGCTAGGCTTCTAGCCCATAGTCCTCAGTGCCACCCAAGCCATCCTGTGCAGCAGCAGCACTGGGCTGACTATACATCTCTCCTTTGCCCCTTCCTTCCCGGCTTGTCACACAAGCAGGGAAACTCCTATGTTTCCAGGGAAACCTGTTTTGAATTCCAATCTTTGAATTAATTAAAGGAATCTTTACAGTCGTGCAACCTAGCCAAAATGCCTTTTAGAAGAAATGAGTGGAGAAAATATGGCAAAACTTCATAAATTCACAGTAAGTAGGAGGAAGACCTAACTAAATTAGTAGTCTGAATTATAGAATCTTTAAAAGAATAACAGTAATTTAATTGCTTTCAGTCTCATTGAATCCTTGGAGAAATTACTTAGTTGAATGGAACTAAGAAAAATGTAGAGATAACACAAAGCTTGTTGAGCAAATGCATTTCCAGGGAGCTGCTGTGGATCAGGACTGTGAGGTAGCTTTCTCCCCGAAGGCTGCACAGGATAGCACTCTGCCTGGCAAAATCTTTTGTTATAACAAATAAAGAGAGCTACTTATGACTTTTTCCAAATGAATGGTAGTATTTAAAAACCATTCATTTGCCGGGCATGATGGCACACAGCTTTAATCCCAGCACTTGGGAGGCAGAGGCAGGCGGATCTCTGTGAGTTTGAGGCCAGCCTGGTCTATGTAGTGAGTTCCAGACCAGCTGGGACTACAATGAGACCCTGTCCCCCAAAAAACAAAATGAAACAAACAAAAAAAATCACCATTCATTTACTTGAGGACTGGGTAACTTAGTGCCAGAACACTTGCCTGGCATACCTGGGGGTTCAGTCCCCAGAACCATCTAAAACAGCTGATGTTTATAATCCCAGCATTGGGGAGGTGGAGACAGGTGGATCCCTGGGATTTGCCAGTGAGAGACTATCTCAAAAGGAAAACCGAGGCAAACAAAGTCAAAGTAGATGGTTCCTGAGGAGCAACATCCAAGGTTAACCTCTGGCATGTACGTGCACACACAAAATAAACAAATGAAGTAAACCACTTTCCCTTGAGTTGAATATCTTGTGTATTTAGTCACAGTAATAGAAAACTGTCATACTGCTCTAAGGCAAAAATCTCATCCACTCCTCCAAGTCGCCTTCCCTACCAAATGGGCACTTATTTCACACTGTCTCTGTTACTTAGTGGTGTTTATGCCCTTCCTTCTCAAGTCATGTTGCTCAATATATAAAGAAAAATCCATCAATGCATCTAAAAGTTACCTTGTTTGAAATTCTCAGATTAGGAGCTCATTTGTTTTGAGCTGTAATTGATGCTTCGCTGTTGTAAGTGCTAAAGTGGTGCCTACGTGGTGTCATCTCAGCGGGTGTCCAAACTCTGTAGCTCTAGTCTACAGAGTCAATGCAGTATGAGTCTTTGGGACCCTTTTCCAGCTTCCCTGCCCACCTGAACTGTCCAGGCCAGCTGGCTGGGCTGATTAAGACAGAGTGATAAAATTGCAGGAAACTGGAGGTGCTGGGAGCCTGTCTCATGTGGAGGAAAGCATAGTCGAGATGCTGCCTTGAGCTCCCTGAAGCTTCCTAGCATGATACCTCAGCAGCAGTGACCTCCAGTTCTGCTCCTGAGTCAGGCTGGAAAAGAGCCTGGTCGCTAAGAGATGGGTTAATATTTGGACTGTCTTGGCGTTCCCTAAGATGCCTGACATTCTACTGAGCATTTGAACCATAATCTTTTGGCACATAAGTTATCTTTTGGTTTGCTTTGCAGCCGCAATTAGAAAGATAAGAGCAGAAAAACCTCTTTCTTGACTGAAGTGCTGTTTTCATGGCAGGACAAAGCATGTATTGTTTCATTTTATTTATCAACAGACCACAGGGCTCTTCATTAAGGTTGTGTTTAACGTGTGTTCTCTTGGACCATAATGTCAAATGTATTCCTAATGAGTTCAGTGACTCAGAGCGCTTACTTATATTCCTTGCGATGGGTCCTCATTGTTGGAGGCATCGTATCACCTGTCATCTGGAATCGGATGCCAAGGTCAAGACATTCACAAGCAAGAGGGCTTTGGAAGGAAAAATGAAAAGATGAAAACTTAAAGTTTGTCCATGTGAGAGCCATGGGAGGCTGCTCAGGGCAAGTGGAGACTATCAGAAGGAGTCTACTTCCAGCCAGTCTTGCATGTCTCTGCCAAGCAGAGCCTATAAACCAGAGATGAGCCCTAGAGATGATCACTTTCAAGTCACAGCTGCCACTTTGGGTGCTGAGTTTTGGAGGATGCAGCTGACAGCCTTGACATTATAAAATTGATTGAAGTTTTATGACCTTCTGAAGTTACTCAGATATTTCTAGCTGATGAAACTTATGGAACTAATATAGTTCAGGAACCCAAAGTTGGCTCTTTATGGCAAATAGCTTGTAAAGAAGTTCTTTTGTTGTCTTAAATACTTCCATGTTAAATCAAGCATGGTGACACATACCTTTGATCCCTGCATGATGGAGGCAGAGACAGATGGATCTCTGTGAGTTCAGGCTAGCCTCATCTACATGGGGAGTTTCAGGTCAGCCAGGGCTGCATAGTGAGACCCTGTCTCAAAAAGAAAAAAAGATTTTCATACTAAAATATGTGTCAAATAAAAGGTAAAAATTAAGTAGTCATGTAGTGTGTGTGTGTGTGTGTGTTTGTGTGCATGCACATATATTTCCTGTAAGTGTGAGGTGTACAGTTTGATTTACAAGGAATGGATCTGAGCATCTGTAAATGCAGATGTATAAATCTAATTTGAAAAGCTTGGGCAGGGTTTTGTGGAAAGGATGAGCTTCTTTTGGACACAGCTGCAATACCATAAGAATGGAAAGCAAGTTTGTAGGATGGATTTATGCATGCATGCATTGCTGGGCATTGCATCCAAGCACTGTCAGGTAGACGGTCTATGCCCAGCCTCATCCCTAGCTCATGACTTATTTCTCAAAGTTGTGGCTTATGCACGTTCCCTGTACTTTCTGTACTTGTTATTTTAGAGAGAAGAGCAAAAGCAGTTCTTATTTTCCAGGTGACTGATTTGCACTGAGAAGTGAACGGCTGAAACAGAACAAGCTATGCTCAGAGTTAAAGTGCCTGAAGGAAAAAGTGTTAGGAGAAGATACATTCCAGGTTGTATTCAGCAACTAGGGGGAGTTCCCAGGAGGAAAATGTACTTCTTCCCTAAGCAAATGCCCTGGACAATGGCTATACTGAATTTATTATATGTGTAGGGGTGCATGTATATGTATGTGCACATGTGTGTGGAGGCAAGAGGTCAACCTTGGGTGTCATTCCTCAGGAACCATCTACCTTGTTTTTTTGAGACAAAGTCTTTCAATAATCATGGAGCTTGCTGATTAGGCTAGGCTCACTGGCCAGTAAAAACCTGTCTGCCTTCCCAGCTTTGGGATTACAAGCATGCATCACCATGCTCAGCTTTTTTTTGTTGTTTGTTTTTAACATGGGTTCCGGATCAGGCTCAGAGCCTTATGTTTGCAAGGCGAGTGCTTTACCAGCTGAGCACTCTCCTCAGCCCCTGAAATCTTTTTACTATTGCTCTTGATAGGTATAAACAAAATGCCATGCTACCAGTATGGACCTGGACAGAAAGTTTTCATGGAACAGCGTGGGCAGGGACAGAGGGCAGGGGGAAACAGGAGGCAGCAACTTCTGGTCCAAAGTGCTGAGGGTACTCTCGACTATTCCTGGAGTATTCCATTCTGTTCTGGAAGTCGACATGTTGAGACTTTCCTGGTTCTGTGACTGTACTGGTTCATACATTCATACTTTGTTGTTTTTATTTTTCAGTTATGCTCTGATTTGTGGTTGCTCAATGTATTGAACAGACTCAAAGGCCAGTTTCCTTAGCTCAGGGCTTGTGCACAGTGGGGCATAAAAGGGGTTATTCATATTGGACATTAATGTGTTTGAGTTTTCTGTATAACCTCATATCTGGCTAAAAGCATTAAATGAGAACTGGATGCTGTGCTATTTTGAAGCTATGTAAATGCAGGCAGCGATGAGTGGGAGGGTGAGAAAGAGGCCAGGTGAGGAGGTCCCACTTAAACTTTGGTGAAATAAAAATTGGATGAATAAAATTAAGGAAATGTTTTTTGTTATTTCGTCAACACTTCTTTGCATGATCATTTGTTCCTTCCTTGCCCAACAACAACAACAACAAAAACCAATAAAAGCCAGAGAGGTGCACGGGAAGCACGGGACATGTGGAAGAGGAGGGGGAAACCCAGGTTTTTTATTTCATTGAACCCACTCAACACCTTTATCCAACTAGAGAGGAATTCCAAAAGGATACATGAACAGCAGCAAAAAGAGACCACAAAAGAGACATTTTAGCCTTTGTGGCTGAGAGATGAGCTTAAAAGAAGAGTGTCCAGGCACATTAGAAGTGGGCATAAACTGTTATAGAGAAAAGAAGGGCACCAAGTGTGGAACCAGTGACAGCAGAGGCTGAGAAGTGGGCTCAGTGAGCACATTGGCCACGTGTGTCCATGGAATTGAGTCTCCATCTTGAGCTCACTGGCCATGTTGTGTCCGTAGGATGGTGTCACTGTTTGGGAATAAGGCAAAGGTACAGCTGCTGGAGGTCTCGAGACTGAGGGGTCAGGAAGCAATGGTAGCTGACTTCAGTCATCCACTCAGGAGACTAGGGACCTTGAATGATCTAGGTTTCAGAGGAACAAAGTTCAGTCACAGGCAAGTTAAGCTGGATATAGAATTAAGAAACAGAAAGAAGAGAATTCAGAGTGACCCCAGTACTCCCTCTTGGCACAAAAACACTTGCGAGGGGTAGGAAATGGGGTGAGGAGAGTCTCAAAGGCTGGGATTTTGCAGCATGTCCTCAGTATGAAATCCACGAAAGTTACCTACTCAACTGTTAGATGATTTTACATACTGGGCTATTCAACTATTATGCTGCCAAATCTCTATTTCAAGACAGGGTTTCCCGTAGCCCCAGCTGGCCTAGAACTCACTATGTAGACCAGGCTGGCCTTGAATTCACAGAGATCTGCCTGCCTCTGCCTCCTGAGTGCTGGGATTAAAGGCATGCACCACTATGCCTGGCATCAAATCTCTATTTTTACCCTTATTTTCAACTTAACCAGTAACTTTTTAGGCAGGTTTATGGAAATCTCATTTCTGTAACACCATGCAAGTCAGTTGTTTTTACCAAATTAGTGGATTTGTGCAGCCATTCCTTCGGTGTTAGGAAATGCTCACTCATGGTCCTCAGCAGATCCAGCATGGTGCTGGGTGACGGTCCCTGTTCTCACTCCCAACCCCAGGTAACCACTCATCTGAGTCTATATGTCTGCCTTTTCAAGACCTTTTAGTGGGTTGAAAACACTAGAATACATAAGTTTTGCATTTGAATTCTTAACTTAGCCTAACATTTTTATGGAGGTCCTTCTTTTCTACTGTTTCATAGTAACGCCATTGTAGGAAATACTGTATTTTATTTATTCATTCCACTGCAGATAGAAATTTGGATTTTTCCAGTTTGAGGGCAATTGTGAGTAATGTCATAACCTTGTACATTCAAGTTTTAGTGTGGATGTGTGTTTTATTCCTCAGGGTTATGAAAAGTTTATATCTGACTTTTAAAGAAACTGCCACACTGTTTTTCAAAGTGCCGGAGTATTGCAGTGTTCACATTTCCTTGTCAACAGTAGGTATCATTTGTGGGTTGGCTTGTGGGTGTCTTAAAGGGTTTATAGTGCAGTCTCTTGACTAAAATCTGCATTTCCCTAGTGGCAGTCTTTCTTTCCTTTGGTTAATGGCCACTTCTGTGTCCTCTTTGTCTTTGGTAAACCGCTCCTTCTGACCCGCTGCTTCTGTCTTTATCAGGTTATCTTCTCATTTTTTAACTTTTAAGAGTCCTTTACACATCCTGATTACAAGTCATCTCACTGATACTGGATTGGCAATATTTCTCCAGTCTATGGCTTGATTGTTCATTTTCTTAATCATGTCATTTGACATGTGAACCTTTTAAACTCTTTAACCCAGCATAACAATTTTTCTTTTTTCCTTTTTTCTTTTATCTGTGTGTACAGATGTGGGGGGGGTATGCATGTGGGGGTGGATGTACATGGGGCAGTGTTGGTACACATTCCTATGGAGGCCAGAGTTCAACCTCAGGTGTTGTTCCTCAGGAGGGGTCCACCATATTTTTTCAGACAAGGTCTCTCACTGGCCTGGAACCCTCAAATAGGCTAGGCTTGCTGGCCAGTGAGCTCCTGGGATCTGCCCATCTCTCTCTCCCTATTACCAGAGTTACAGGTACATACCACAGGGCCCCATCTCTTCAGTCTCTACATTTTCTTCCTTTGATCTCACTTTTGGTTGTTGTAGCTTTCCCTGTCCCAAGGCCATGAGAATTTTCCTTAGGTTTTCTTCTAGAAGCTTCTGTTTTGCTCTTACATCTCTGTGGTCTGTTTTATGTTTAGGACCAATTTTTTAAAATATTTCATTTATTATTTTTATTTTATGTATATGAGTGTTATGCCTGCATGTGTATAAGTGCACCTGTGTCGTGCAGTGCCTGCAGAGGACAGAAGAGGCTGTCAGATCCCTGGAACTAGAGTTACGGATAGTTGTTAGCTGCCATGTGTGTACTGGGATTCAAATCCCAGTCTTCTGCCTGCCTCTGCCTCCCAAAGATTGGTATTAAAGGCATGCACCATCACACTCAGCCTCATCTATTGTCTAATTAGTCAAATTATCCACATGTAAATGGAAGCTATTCATCCAACTAAATCCACTTTAGCTCCTTATTTCACACCACATACAAAAATGGTCCCAAACTGGGGCTGGAGAGATGGCTCAGCACATAAGAACACTGGCTGTTCTTGCAGAATCTCTGGGATTGAGGCCAGCCTGGTCTACATAGTGACTACATAGTGACGTCCAGGTGTGCTGGGACTAGGGAGGGCCTGTCAAAGGTAGGTAGGTAGATAGATAGATAGATAGATAGATAGATAGATAGATAGATAGATGATAGATAGATGATGATGATAGATGATAGATAGATAGATAGATAGATAGATAGATAGATAGATAGATAGATAGATGATAGGTAAAGAATCTGCATAGCAGAATACCCTCTGCCCCTCACAGCCTCTCTCAGGTATGTCGGTAGACATACATCACTCTGCTCCCTCTGGGCATGGCTGTCCTGCACTCTCTCTTTGGGCCTTCATCTTTTGCAGAATATAAAATCCTATTTTGGAGGTATATCAAGGCTGTTCCATATCAGAATGGCAGCTGGCTGACAACAGGAAACTGCTCTTCCATCTCCCTGCCTCATTTTTAGTGACTAAATATAGTAGGACCTGAAATGTTTTGGGGTGGATTTAATTAAATTCAGCCTCTATGATCTTTGAATATCTCCTCCTCTCTCTTTTTTCTTTCCTTTTCTCTCTGAGGTTTTAAGCACACTAATGTTTGAAACAACAGTAGCAATAAAAACAGTATGGGACACTGACTTGCTCAGGAAAAACAACCAGTGGTTCTACATGACAGCTACAGAACTGCCTTGTTGCTTTTTGAAGTGGACGTGAAAAGGTGCAGTGACTGGAAGGGTCTGAACAGCTTCCCCAGGACTAATGAGATAACTTATCATAGCAAATCTGAGGGCTGGGAAGGTAGAGTGCTCACCTAGCACGCTTGAACCCCAGGGTTCTATCACCTAACCTGACATAGATATAATGCTGTATCTCAGCACTCCCAAGGCAGAGACAGGAGGATCAGAAATCCAAGGTCGCCCTCAGCTACATAACAAGTTTGAGGCTTCATGATACCCTCTCTCAAAAAATAGAATCTAGAAAAGCCAGAGACCCTCAGACACAGCAGATAGGCAGCCAGTTCCAGTTCTTACTGCCAGTCACTCCAAGAACTTCTCTCTGTCCCAGGATGATCACAGGAACCCACTCTTCCATCTCCTTCCCTGTGCGCTTCCAACAGGGTAGCTGAGGCACAGGACTTGCACCATCATTAGTATGAGGACAAACTTTAGGGTTTATTCTTTATTTGAGGTTGCTAATATTCAGGAGACAATCTAGTCTATTTTCACCACAGATACTTATTGATTTAGTATATCTAAAGCTCTGTTCTCTGTACCTCGTGGTGCATAAGACTGAATCAATCTCTCTCTCTCCCTCCCTCCCTCCCTCCCTCCCTCCCTTCCTCCCTCCCTTCCTCCCTCCCTGCTCCTTATTCCCAGTAGGGTTTCCATATGTTTAAAACATTGCTGAAAGATGCAGAAATATTGCCCCAATTCCCCCATGTACCTGTGCAAGTTCTTGTGAGATTTCTCCAAATCCAGCTGAAGGATAATCTCATACTGTCAACAGACACAGGATTCAGGGAGCAATGCATCTGGATACTGATCTTAAGTCGGTCTTATGAAATTCTCTGAAGTCAACCTTTACCTGTTTGTGGTTTTGAGACAGGAATATGAGGGCCGTGGTGACCATGGGATTTGCCTTGTTCTGTAGGGACGAGGTCTGCTCTTCCAGAAGCTGGCCTGCTTGGGAGCGTGAATCACACCAAACTTTGGCAGTTACGCTAAGCTTCAGGCACAGGAGCAAATTTCTTTCTTTTTAGAAATTTTAATTAACTTATTTTTGTGTGTTTTGCCTGCATGTGTGTAAGTGTACCATGTGCATGCAATACTACTAGAGGCCACAAGAGGGTGATGGGTCCCCTGGAACTGGAGCTACAGTTGTTAGTGGTTGCTGGAGAACTGAACCCCAGTTCCCTGCAAGAGCAGCCAGTGATATTATCTGTTGAGATATCTCTCCAGCCCTGGGAGCAAGCTTCTTAAAGTGACCTTTTCTACTTCACTTCACTACACAAACTTTAGGAGAATGATTCTACTGGGATTTAGAGCCACAAAACCCCGAGTTGGGACCCTGGCTGCCACTTACCTGCTGTGTGTCTCTTTGTATATTATTGCATGCAAGCGCAGTGAAAACCGCTGAACAGGACCACTCTGTGGGTAGAAACAGCAGTTTATTTGGGAACAAACTGCTTGGCTGTCTCTTGGATTTAGGTTTCCTGGTGCTTCCCAGTCAGACTCACTGTGCAGGGATAGGTAAATGTGACCCTCAGGCTCAATGAACCCCCCACCACCCCTGAACTCTGCCTTCCTGTGTGCACCTCTGCCTCCCAGAACCCACTTCTCCTATGCAGCATGCATGGCAGCTTGAATACTGCATAAGCTCAATCAGATGAGTCATGCACAGTGTGGCATTACTAAGCCACATTACAGTTATATCTGAATCAAAGAATCAGCCTGACTCTTAATGTTAGTTTTAAGAATGGGCCCAGACTCTGAGAGTTTGTTCCTTCAGATCTCATGGAACTGTGCTCCAGAGCCAGGCTTCACTCGCTTTTATTCAGACTATCTCCTGCATCATCTGGGGAACTACAAGCTTGGACCCACACTTTTCTTGTCACAGAATTTTGCCCTTTGATCTCTAGACCTAAAATAGCTCATATACACCCTGTGAAGCCTACTCCTCCAGTCTCACTGCTTCCAAGGAGTGAGTATGAATACTCTGCTTCCAAGGCTTTGACATGCTAATTTAGCTCACCCACATTCATTCACTATCTTGGGTGGAGGGGTCCTGAGGAATCCAGATCAGGTGCTCTAGAACTGGACCTCCCACCTCCCCTGAGGTCCAGCTGTGGGCCTCTCTCCACGTGATCCTGGGCATCTAGGCCTTCTCCCATTGCCAGGCACCAAGAGGTTTTCCATTATTTTTCTAACACTCTTCTACAGCCCCAGTGTGACTTCACCTATGCCCTAATTGAACTTCTAGAGAGAAAAATCACAACCTCGGAATTTAAAAAAAGAAAGAAAGAAAGAAAGAAAGAAAGAAAGAAAGAAAGAAAGAAAGAAAGAAAGAAAGAAAGAAAGAGGAAGTATTGTAATAACTAAACTGATACAATTCTCAAACTAAAAATAGGTAATTATATTTTATAATATAAATTCTCAACTATACGTCTACTATTTTTGAATGTTATTTGCTGACAAGACTGTGCTACTGAGCCTCAACAATGGTAAATTTGTCACTATAATGTGAGTTTACCATTCACTCCTTTTCCAAATTCTCCAACCTACGCAAAGTTTTCCAACATAATCGTGTTATTTCTAAAAGAAAGTAAGGTTAATAAAATATATATTTTTTAAAAAAGAGCACATGGCTCAGTGAGCTTGTTTGTATTATAAACAGTAGCTTTTTCAGTCCAGATTCTGTCCATATCGTAAGTCATTCCTACAGTACAGATCATGGCAAACTCTAGGTCTGGCAGACTCAGAAGCACTGCTTGACAGCTTTGCCGGGGAGAGGAGAACCATGGCTGCAGAGGGTGTGATGGAGAGCCTCTGAGGAAGGGTGCACAAAAGGTGGCCGTACTCTCCGGGGCTGTGCTGGCTTCCTGGTGCTGGGATTTAGAATACAGAAGGAGTAATGCATCTGTAGAAACCAAGGCTGGTTGCTGTGACTGAAGAGCTCCCTGTACAGGCAGAACTGAGGCCTAGTGATAGCCCAGCCCCTGGGGCTCTGTGGGCCCTCTCTGGACCCAGATAGCTGCAGCCCTTGGATAGCTTTCAGGCAGCTGAGAGCCATACTCTACCAAATGCATATCTCTCTCTCTCTCTCTCTCTCTCTCTCTCTCTCGTGTGTGTGTGTGTGTGTGTGTGTGTGTGAGAGAGAGAGAGAGATCAGCCCCCTGAGACCAGCAGGAGGCTGTTGGGGTCCTTCTCTCATGTCTTGCAGGAGTAGCAAGGTGCATACATACAGGGTACCTAATGCCATCAGCCTTTAGTCTGTGGGGCTGCCTGTTACAGAGAAAGGCACAAGTCTTGATCCATCCTGGAGATGCCTCAGTGTCCCTTTGTCACTCAGGGACAAAGGCTTCCACGTAGACAACTGGCATGCAATCAGAGCCAGCTCCCTACTTATAGAAGCTTAGTGTCATAGGAAAATGTGAGCCCTTGTTCAAAATACAAGAGAACAGTAAAGGTGGTAAAGTAAGCAGCTTGCTCCTCTCTTCTGTGGTTGGTCTCTTTGTAGACTTTAATGGCACTTTTAATTACGTTGACTATTGTTCTACATAAAGAAAATATGAAAAGTTTAAAATTATTAGATTGGATTTTACCATTGATCTTTATGTAGCACCTCGATGGGTTCATTTGCGTGCGTGCGCACACGTGTGTGCGTGCGTGTGTGTGTATGTGTGTGTGTGTTAAAAAAACATAGCATGTGTAGGTGAACCACTTAGTAGTGTTAAGTGATTTCATATTGCTGTGCTCCATGCCATGCCACTCTTAAAAGCAAGAGTAAGGGCTGGGCAGATGGCTGTTAGTAAAGTGCCTACCAGCAATCCTGAGGACCTGAGTTCAATCCCAGAACCTATGTAAAAAGCCAAGTGACGTGTGCCTATAATCCTAGCACTGGGGAAGTGTCTTCCTGGACAGCCAGTCTAACCTACTCAGTGAGCCTTAGGTTCAGTGGGAGACCCTGACTCCAAAAATAAGGTGCAGAGCAGTTGAGGACACCCCACATCACCCCTGGCTGTCACATACTTGAGCACTAACTGGAATGAAGATCACAGTGTTTGCTTTAGCTTGTGCTTGCTACACATTGTCAACAGAATGCACAGGAGTGACCCCACCCCTCCCATCTCAGTGCTCACCCCCCCCATACACACACAGGCTTTTTAGACTGTTGATAAATAAAGGAAGATTGAAAAGGAAAGGAGCTACTGGAGGCTGACCTCTTTTATCTGTGTGTTATATTTAGCATAAGTGATTGGCTGATTCAGGGACATGACACATTGGTTAGCAAAAGCTACTCCAGGCTTGTGGCCATCGCTCTTCTCAGGGACTGCAGCTTCTCAGCACTCACAGTAGGTCTGTTGCAGGGAGGGTAAATGCCACAGATTCTCACCAGAAGCAGTGAATACTGATCTAGTCACTGCAGTGTAGACACCTATCAAAATATTTTGCTGACAACCATAAGAAATGTCCCCCATAGGCACAAGTATTTGAAGCTTGTTTCCCAGTTGGTGGTGCTGTTTGCAGAGATTTAGGAGGTATGGCTCTCCTGGAGGAAGTACATCACTGGGGTCATTCATGCCCCTTTCACTTCGGTGGCTTCCTCACAGGTATTTCCACATGAGGTGGCAGCCTTGGAGATAGGGTTGGAGAGCTTGGGTGGGCAGTCTTACTCAGCATGCATTTTACTCGGAGCCATGATCTTATAAACTGAACAGAGCTTGGGTGCCTACCAACTATGTGCTACAAGTTCAAGTTATATCTGCATCCCTAACCTGAGAAGAAGTCATGGGCTCATTTCACCGTCAAGGAAGAGGCAGCCAGCATGGGGAGGGCAGAATTTAGCATTTTCAGTTCCACCATGGCACCTGTCTTCTGATGTGGAGCTTTCCTCAATCTACCTCAAATCAGCAGGCGGAAAGAAAGCTCGGCTCTCTGCTAAGTCAGCCACCACCCCTCCGAAGCAGTTCAGGTTTGCAGAAAGCCCTCCTGGTAAGATGCACCTGAGTGCAGGACGCCAGATGTGACAGAGTGGAGAGAAGTGCTCATTATTTTGAAGGTTGCAAAGAGATTTCAAAGGTGGAATTGCTCCTCTGGGTTACTTCCAGACATAAAAGTGCACAATTTTTACAACATACTCTTTCAAAAGCTTCCACAAACTCCGTATTTAAAAATTAACAACCCCCCCACAAGCAGAACACCACTCCCATAGTCTCTGTCCTACCCTGTGGCGGAGCATTTTTAATCAGCTGGCTTTGTGCTTTAAAGATCTCATTTGAGTTACAGCTTGTAGGAGTGGAACTGTAGTGAGTAATCACAAGGACTAAAGAGGACAAAATGAAGGTGAGGCGTGCTAATAATTTAGCTCCAGTAACCTTAAAAGGTTTACTCTTCACTTTTAACCTTGTATCCCTCAAAGCGAGCACTGAAGTGAATCATAAAAATGTTTCTTTTAATTTGCAAGTCATTTATCCAACTATTAGCGCAGCTACTGATGCCTTAACTAATAGAAAGCAGAGTTGCCAACTGCCACTTGGTTCCCTTGTGGCCATGGGAGTCTCCTTGCCTCTAACCAGGAGGACCTTAGGGTTGAAATGGTGGTGTTTTGCTTTCAAATTGTATAGCTCATTACAGAGCCAAATTCTTTTCTTTTTTTTTTTTAAGTTAAAAAAAATGTGTATGAGTGTTTTGCCTGCGTGAATGAAAAGTGGACCGCGTACATGCAATGCTCATAGGGGGCAAAAGAGGACATCGGATCACCTGCAACTGGAGTTACAGATGGTTGTTAGAGGTCATGTTGCTGGGAACTGAACATGGGTCCCCTGTAAGAGCAGCCAGTGCTCTTTACCACTGAGCCATCTTTCCAGCCCTAGAGCTAAATTCTTAATTTAAGAACATCATAGCTTTGATTGCAGATCAAGAGGCTCACAGTGGCACAGAGGTGCAAAGCAGCTCAATATGACCTTCGATGGGGACATCCTGACTGACTTAGAGGTGATGTTTAAGCCCCAAGTCAAAGCTAGGAGGCAGGCTCAGTGAGAAGTTTCAGATACCAGCCTAGAGCACTAACATCTCCAGGGCCCTGCTCATGAACACGGTAGATTGACCTGGACCCTGTTACCAGCCCTATTAAGCCATCCCTATTGAGCTTTGTACCCACACCACATGGAGAACCACCAAGTGTGCAAAGAGCATTTGTTTTGTATGTGAGATGGGGCAGCTGTGTACTTCAGTGAAGGACAGAATGCCAAAAGCAGAGTTCTTTGGGTCTGTCCTCATCATTAAGAGCATGTACCCTAAAAAAACAGAACCATTCCCCCTCAAATTCCCATTTGATTTCTGATAATGGAGTTTGGTCCTATTTTGTTTCTCTAGAAAGGGGTGGGACTCCTCCTGCTGTACCTTCCCCATGGTTAGCTGTCAGCTTC